AGAGAGAGAGAGAGAGAGAGAATTTTTTTAATATTTATTTTTTAGTTCCCGGCCGACACAACATCTTTGTTGGTATGTGGTACTGAGGATTGAACCCGGGTCGCTCGCATGCATGCCAGGCGAGGGCGCTACTGCTTGAGCCACATCCCCAGCCCATCTTAAGCTTATTTTTGCCTCTAGTTTATTTTTGTGGGACTTAATTTCCTTTCATCAGAATCAACTTTTAATTTTTATCTTCTCCATTTAATTTTACAAAACAAGATGCAGATATAATTCATTATTTAAAAATTGTTACGAATGCTTCAGTACTTAAGACATGTCAACACTGCCAAAATCGAAATTATGGTGGAATGGTTCAAAACATTCATTCCTTTAATTTTATGTGAGATGCCCAAATTCTGCATGAGAACCCCCAGTTCAGGAATATTGGAATTCTAGTACTAAAAAATAAAGGAGGCGACCGTCCAAATTTCAAAATTAAGAAAGTATAAGTTCTGAGGTTGTTGTATTTCTATCCTTCTCCCACATGCAGGGTCCCAAATAACTCTCTTTGGGTGTCTTTCACATAATGTGTCTTCAACAAAAGTGTTATGGTGCTGATGTGACTAGCTGGGTTAGTCCCTGCTGTATGCTAAGAGCTGTTTAAATAAGACATGTCTCCTCACCTTGGTTGGTGAATTCCTCTGTGGTATGGCTTCACAGTTATAGAATAGACTTTAGTGTTGAATAGCGATCCGTTCAAATACTGATTCTACCACTTATTAGAAAAATAGTTCATGTCTTCAAGCCTGAGTGCCCTTGTTGACATGACCTACCTTTCAGATTGGCTAATTCATTCACTTGGTAGGCATTTATGGAACGTTTTCAGTTGCCAAACATTCTTGTGTGTGAATTAAGTAAGATAATGTCTCTGGGCTTCCTCTGGGTGAAGCTCCAGCAGAGAGCCATCCACATGGGCAATTTTCACTACAGGGAATGATACCTTCAACAAAGATGATGGCTTTGTGATGTTCTTTATCAGCCTGGTCATCACAATCACAGCAAAAGTTGACAATAAGAGTAAATTTCTCAAACCTTTCCATTGCCTTTCGTTTTCCTTTTGTAATTTCTTTCCTTCCTCCCTGCATTCTCTCTCTCCTCCCACCTGTCTGTCTCTCTTTATATATATATTTGATGTGCACAACTTGACAAAAGTATATGATCCCCTGTTTACTTTCTTTTGCCAGAATGGAATCTACTGAAAAATGTGAAGTGGTAATTCAACATTTTAATGGAAAATATCTGAAAACACCACCAGGCATCCCAGGTAAGAAGTGTCATTAAGAAGGCCTATTGCTATTTTTAAAATGATCATGTGCTAAGGCCCTTCCTTGGTCACTGGAAAGAAAAACTTTGCTTTTATAAATCTGTATTTTTTTGAGGGTAAGGGTACTGGGGGTTGAACTCAGGGGTACTTAACCACTAATCCACATCCCCAACCCTATTTTGTATTTTATTTAGAGACAGGGTCTCACTGAGTTGCTTAGTGTCTTGCTTTTGCTGAGGCTGACTTTGAACTCTCAGTCCTCTGGTTTTAGCATCCTGAGGCTCAGTGGAGTGGCATGAATGTATATTATTATTTTTTATTTATATATGACAGCAGAATGCATTACAATTCTTATTACACATAAACAGCACAATTTTTTGTAGCTCTGGTTATATACAAGGTATGTTTATACCAATTTGTGTCTTCATACATGTACTTTGGATAATAATGATCATCACATTCTACCATCATTTATAACCCCATGCCCCCTCCCTTCCCTTCCAACCCCTCTGCCCTATCTACAGTTCATCTATAACTCCCATGCTCCCACTCCCTATTCCACTATGAAGTATGACACACTAACTCATCTTTCTCAAAAGTTTCTTAGTGTATCTTCTTTGGCCTTTTCTCTGAACATTTTCTTGGCTAAAGTAAAATAGAAGAAAAACACAGCAAAGTTCATTAACAAAGAGTGCGTTTAAAACATTAGGGAAGGTTATAACTCTTATCATTAATGTTGACACCTTGTAGTTTGTAGTTTATAAAATAGTAAACAGTGATATTCACAGTGGAGTCCACAGATTGATGCCCGTCTCCAAGCATTTCCTAGAAGTCCATGACAAGAAAAGTACAGAAAGGAAAGTAAGCAATCAGAAACATTTATGGCAATTTGACACTGCCAGGAATTCTAAATGCCAATTTTTAAATTTTACAAGAATATCGATTACTGACAGAAACTTTCGAAAAAAATACCATCCATTCATTAGAGATAATTAGAGAAGTTCCAAATTAGACTACCCCATGGCATTTTGTATGGGGGAATTTTTAGGCAAATTCTTAAGGTTCTACAAATGTTATAATAAAAGATATAACTTCATGCTCTCAGGAGTTATATTCAGCATAAGAAAAGTCAAATATACCATGTATATCAGCAATATAAATGCCTCAACTTGATATTAATCTGGCAGCAAGTTACATGTAAAGTATTTGATAATAGGTAAGTTAATTTAAAAAATGTACTTTCACTAATGCACAAAAACTTAAAAGACTGAAGGGTTAAACCGGGAAAAATTCCAAGAAGTAAAGAACTATCTTTGTGATGAATGTTTTTTTGCTGTTGTTGTTGTTGTTTGTTTTGGGGTTTTACTTGCTTGTTTGTTTTTTGCTTTTTACAGTATGATGATTCTCAGGAAGGAAAACTAAGCTTGATTTCAAAAGTGTTTGTGCCACAATGCAGTGTTAAAGCTCCTTAAAGAGTATAGGGGTGGAGTATTTCAGTTCCTTATAATAGTTCAAGGTTATACAGAAGGGAAATGTGGACAAAAAAAAATGTTCTTGTGGAAGAGCCAGGAGTTGTTTTGTTTTTGTTTTGTTTATGATTTAGTGGGTGGGTGGGTGGTCAGAAAAGCAAGATGACCCTTCACACTGACACTGGGTGATGTGGAAGACCCAAAGTAGATGATGACCGGTAAATCAGTGAGTGAACGTACAGCAGAGACTGTGCCTTGATCTGGTTATCTCCCATGCATAACATCCCCTCGAGAACCAACTGCATTATGATCCAATTGGAGACATATGGTGTTGTTAAGAGAGGAGTTAGCAGTTTTCATCTCAGCATGTAAGCTGCCCTTGCATTTTAGGAGAAATACTTTTTTTTCCCCCCGTTTAGCATAAACAGATATTTTAAGACATTCTGCTCAGACCTATCATTGAATCAAGGAATGGCATTGTTTGTGTGGATTGTCTTCTTATTTATCCCAGTTGATACAACAGATGCCTGTTTATGCAGCAGGCATTCAAACTAGGTATGAGTTATATTGTTTTGTAAAAATTTAAAAGCAAGAAAACTATGTGGAAATTATTGTTGATTACATTTTAACATGGGTGTTTTACTTTTTAGATTTCATCGTTTTAGAAAAAAAGACATTGAAATCCTTCTTGACCCAATTGATTTTAAAATGTTTTGTTTTATTTTCCCCATAGAACATACAGTTGACTAATACAATTTAATGCTTAAGACAAAGAATGTCACTACAAATCCTCAAATGTCCGGGCGTCCTTCTTGAATACACAGACTGTGACATTAACCTATCTAATATCATAGCTACACCCAATGGAAACATTGTGAATAGCAGGAATTTGGTTATGAGTTTCTCTTCACTTAGATCTCATGGGAATAAGAAAAAAATGATAAAACTCAATTGTAAAACTCTTAGAGATATAGTTTATGAGCTTTGCACTCAATATAATAGAATTGAATATATAATATTGATCAGCATCTATTCTCAAATTTGCTTGTTTATGTATCACTTTGGAAGTCAAATAGTTTAATAGAAGTTTCAGATGCTAATTAAAAATACTTAATCATTGATATGTGAATATATGTGAAATAAAAGAGGACATAAGGTAAGATATGGGTATTTTTAAAGGTTCAGTAGTAAAATCTTTACTGGTATCATTTCTATGTGAGGTCTGGTATAATCAAATTTGGTTATGCTATCTGTCTTTATTCATCCTCATTGCTTATTTTGTTAGATATCATTGAAATYTTATTTTCAGAAATTCTTATCTTAATCCAAATTTTTATTTCATCTTGAAGACAGAAAAAGGAATATCATTAGTCCTGATAGCTGGGGATAGTCCTTTGACTTATTTTTTAAAGTGACCATTTTCCTAACCAATTTCAGTACAGTATTTTAGTGAGCTTGTCCTTGCTTGTGATTGTACTAATTAAAACCAACATCAATTGATTTGGCCTACCTAAAACAAAAATAGAAATCAAAAAAATCGGAAAAGGCTCAGTATACTGCACTACCAAAATTTAGTATGCTTGAGATCGGAAGTTGATGATTTTGCAGAACTGCACATTGATAATTTTGATGCAGGACTTTAAGACTGAGTAAATGAGGACTCACAGTGATTCAATAATGGCCTAAGATTCTCAGGCACCAAGTCTGGTGTCAAAAAGATTACATGCAAAATAAGTTAGGTTCTTTTTAAAAGCTCTGCTTTTAATCTTACTCCAAGCAAGTACTAAGCAATTGGTACCATATTCCCTTGCTGACTTCTCCATTTAGGAAGGTATTGGGGAAATACTGCATGTGCAAGTACAATGCCATTTTTATGTCTGTTGCTCCAGAGAATAATGATTATTCCCCCAGGATATGTGAAGCTAATTATTTTCCTTAGATGAACATATAGTTTCAAATTTCCTAGGGTCCCATTTTTATAAAATAATGAGAAAAATAACTACTTCAACCCAAAACTTTGACATTTTTCCTTTATTTAATTTCTTCTTCTTCTTTTCTTTGTCTCTTTTTTTGTTTGTTTGTTTGTTTGTTTCTTTCTCTTTATTTTCTTGGTACCCAGGATTGAACCCAAGGGCACTTAAACACTGAGCTGCATCACCAATCCTTTTTATATTTTATTTTGAAACAGGGTCTCCCTAAATTGCTTAGGACCTGCTATGTTGGCAAGGCTGGCTTTGAACTTGCAATCATCCTGCCTCAGCCTCCTGAGCCACTAGGATTACAGGGCTGCACCACTGTGCCATTGTCTCTGAATTTCAAATCCTAACATTTCATAGTTAAGGACATTTGCAAGGACATAAAACATTGACCACATTTATATTGCTGGCACCATTTTTATTTGAATCATCATGAAAATAATTTTCTCATTAAACATGATTCATGTTGATATTGAGTTTTCATTCCCAATAGATAATGTGAGCTAGGAGGGAATTTTATATGTACCTTCTTTTGGATCTTGCTTTCCCTCTGGACTCCTCCAATTTATTCATAAAATATCTAATTTTAATGAGTATAACATGAATCATTAATGCCTCTTAGCATCTCCCCAAACCCACCTTGTTTACTTTAGACTATAATGTTATTCCTAGGTTTTCATTACCTGGAATAGTGAAGCTAAATATCAAAGTCAGAAATCAAACTTTGAGTAGGAGCTTAGTTGATACAGGAAGTTAACAAAATCAGGAACCAGTGTTGCTATGAGCAGGTAAGAAGGAGAGGCTATAGAGGCAGGTGTTAAACAGTGTCAATCATTTGAGTGTTTTTGCCATCCGCAGAAAAAGATCATGCAGTATATTCTCCCTCCCCTAGAGAAAAAAAAGAAAACACAGTGTTCCATAAATGTTGCATGTCCTACATATCGATCTTGATGCTTTCTGGACAAAATGAGGGATCATTAGTTGCTTGCCTGCCTAACCCCAGACATTTCTTTGTCCTGTAATGAATCGCACAGCAATGTTGTGCAGCCCCAAAGCGTTCCAATTTCAAATATCTGGCAAAAGCAAAGGGTAAGTTCCCAGACACTTCAGGGATCTGTAGGGCATGAACTTGAAAGGCTCACTTTCAAAGAGCCCCTGGAGCACAGCAATGCACCATGCGGAAAAGGCTTCCACATGTAAGGACATGTATTGATGAACAGAACATGCAGCCTGGCTTATAGAAAAATAAATCATGGTGTGCTCTCAGACTAGACGTTTGCCTGTAAGCACATGTTCCTATCAGTAAAAGAGTCTTTCCTGAAGAATATGGAATTATCTACTTCTGATAGGACTTTCTCATTTTTAGACAATTGTTTCTCATCCCAATTAACCCCAAGAGGTAGGGAAGGTTTGAGAGGAAGCTTACCATTATAGGACCTTTTCAAATTTAACAGATCTGTTACCAACAGAAATTTAGACAAATATTGAAGTACTAGAGAACATGTTTTTTTATAATAAATAAAATAAAAACTCATGTGCCTTCTGATGCTTGACC